CCCCAAAACCCCAAAACCCCAAAACCCCAAAACCCCAAAACCCCAAAACCCCAATGTTTTTATTAATGATAGAATTTAGAATTAAAAATTAAAATGTTTTGAACTAACTGCTACTATCACTTTCATCCGCACTATGACTATCACTCTCATCCTGATTACTTCTGTCACTATCACTATAATTTTCAATGTCGCCACTATCATCAACATCATCACTATCATTATTGCTCTTACAATCACTGATGACCCCACTCTTACTACTATCAATATCAAATTCAGCCTGATTCCAATTATCCATGACTTTACAATCAACTAACCCGGCTTGTTCAAATATTTTGCTGATACTGAGTAAAGAAAGACCATTCAGTTTGGAACAAAAGAGTTTCAAAGAGTCTTTAAGTGTTGATTCTTGAAATCCTTGGGCTAAGCCTTCGACTCTCTTTGGATATTGTTTCCATTCACTAAGTTTCTCCCCACCACTTCTGAAGAACCTCATCTCCTCGATTCTAAACTGTATAGTCGGATCAAGATGGACAGAGTCACTTTCTATAATTCAAAATGCAAATTCAAGTCTTTTGACTTGACGGAAAGTATTCAAAACTTTCTCAAAATTCTCTTTCTCCATCTTGAAATGACCAAGATGTAGGTACTTCATAATATTAGGCGCTATAGTAGAGAGTCCACTCCAGAATAAACTTATTGAGCTATGAATTCCACTTTTATATGAAAAACTAAATTGTTGAACCTCTGTGGGGAAGTTCCTCACCATGAATTCTATATGAGAGATGAGAAGACAAATTTACCCTCTACAAAGTGTAGGTCGCTATCGGTACATCTGTAAAGACAGATAGTGTCAGTATCAGGGAGCATCCTTGAGCCAGCTTTAGTGATTATCTGTTCTAAGCAATCTCTGTCACATTGATTATCCATGTACAGCTTTATCTTCCTATTCTGTTTCTCTTTTGAGTCTCTAAAGATAAGTGTAAGCTAAATTCATTAGAGAGAAGAGTTCATATTTCCAATATTAAACTATCAAGACCTCTTAATCAAAGAAGGACTAAGGTTAAGTCAACTCTTACCTGGCATACAATGCATCTCTTCCATAAGAATAGAACTTCAAGCAATGGTGGACCATGTATTCTGGCAACATATGCTTTTGTTTTAGCTCTTCTTTAGTCATTTTTCTAGTAAGATCTGCTCTCGATAACATCTTTGTAGGCTTTTTCCTTATCTATAATATGTTAAATGTAATACTATTGAGTATCAAGAGGCACAAAGTTAAAATAGAGGATCTCTTAAGCAATTTAAAATGAATAATATTAATATTTTCTAGATTCTAGAATTCTTTGATGAAGAGGACACTATGAACAGAAAGAAATTTTAAAAATTTACTAACCCTACATCAGCTTGTTAAACCCATGCAGATGATTTCATTGATACAATCTCTAAACTTTCTGTCAATCGGAACGCAATTATTGGAATTTAACTTTCATATTCACTGAAAATGAGGTTAAATAATCCTATATCTAAGACTAGGGCTTAAATGGCCCTATTTTTTAATGATTAGCTACTATGAAATTGTTGTGATTTACCTTCTGGAGTGTCTTATTAGTAAAAATATCAAGAATTACAGTGAAGTCCTGTAAAACAAGCCTAAGTTCTTCTAGCCTCTCTTCATCTTTTGGCTTAACTTTTCCATTCTTTAGTTTTCCTTCCAATTTTTGGACACTTTCTGTGATGTTTTTAATCTTACTTTCTGTCTATTATATCCAAATTGATTAAGGCCAACATAAAGAAATCTTCAAAATTGTGGATAAAGCCTGATCATGAATGGTAAATATTAATACTCATTAAGCATCATCCAATCTGCATATGAGTTAGGTTTGACTGGGTCAAACAATTATTCGAATTACTTACCAGTTCTATATAAAAATATTAGGTTGATACAGTTAGCTATTCACAAGCTGAAGAGAGCACACTTACTTATCATAGCCTTTATTATCGATTTTGATACAGAAACAATAGTATATCCCCTTTCTTTAGTGAGGGAATAATTATCCTCTTCGCCTGGACTATGATAAGTAAAAAGAGACTTTACAGAATAATTTCTGATCTTGGCGTTCTTCAGATCACTCCTTCTTTAGTCTGACCCATGTATAAATCTTCTGAGACCTTTAAAATCTGGATGTCATCACGATTTAGTGAGTTAATTTCTGCTGAAGATGCGGTGCAGCCCATTTTTATTATATAAGTTTGTCTCAATAATTTAAATATCATTCGGGGTTTTGGGGTTTTGGGGTTTTGGGGTTTTGGGG